TTCCTTTGTTTTTTCAACAATAATTTGAATGAAAAGTGCTGAAATCGGAGCCAGCGTCCCTTGCATAAATCCTCACTCGATTCTTCCCTCGGTTATGGCCAAGGGACCCTGGTACAGTGGCATTGATTGCTTCCCAGGAAGTAAGAATGTACCCCTGCTCCACCCCTACTCACTCCTATTCCACTGCTATTTTGTTCCTCCTATTCAACTACTATTCTGTTCCTCCTATTCAACTGTTATTCTGTTCCTCCTATTCAACTGCTATTCTGTTCCTCGGAGTTCCTCCTGTTCAACTGCTATTCCTGGGATTCTCAAAGCAGCACCGCACCTTTGTGTTGCTGCTCTGAGCCATGCCTGGCTTCCTGGCTTCCTTGTGCTATCGTAGAGCTGTTGTAGAGCTGTTGTAGATGGGCGGGAAGGGACTTCTGCCCCTGCTATCTATTGTCTTAGTCCCTCCCCTTCTCCTATTGAGAGTTGTCTGAAGTGGGAGGTACCTGAAGAACACAGAGATGAAGTTCCGCGCTTGTGTTTAGCTAATGCAGAAGCTAGGAGCTCCCGCTGCACTTCTTATCTCATCAATTGCTATACGTCCCGTCTGCCTCAATCAGCACGGCCCTGCCTTTTTTGCTAGCATTCTTTGCTTCTTTTCCAGTATCCCTTGTTTCTTTCATGGCTTCTTCGTCCTTCAACTAAGCTAATATGTGCTGGAAGCCTGGAACCAAGATTTACTGTAGTTTGCACTGTCACTTAGACTGCTCGCTGTGCTCGGCCATGCCGCGCCTGCCGCCTACTTCGGACACTTCACCGTCTGGTGGGTTGCCTTGGTCTGTTTTTTGTTAATATTCTGAAAGTCTGTCTCTGGCTACCCGCAGTATTACGATCCAATCCTTGCATCTGATGTGGTTTCCTTCTAGTTTGCCTAGAAGGTTCTTGCCTACCGCTGCTGCGGAAATTTCCCGGATTGTGTTTCTCCTTGCCCGGCCAGTTGTCTTTCCGTAACTTCTTTTACCAAGCTGTGCGTGTTGTGATTTCTTAACTTTGCTTGGGGGAAAAGGAGGGGGCAAGGTGGGGAAGGGAGTTGGGGAGGAAGGGAAGAAGGGTGATTTCAAACTGCTTTGCTCGCTTCTTTTGCACCATATTCCCATGTACTTCCACGTGCACTCGCAAAGGCAGGTGGGAGAGGGAGGCCGGGGGCGAGGGAGGGGGTGGTGGTTTGCTTGCTTGATCGTGCACATAATGTTATCTAAGAGCTAGTCATGAGACCGATTGAATCAGGTTTGGGCATTACCTCCTGTAACCTTAACAACACTTCTGGGCCAGCATGCGCCACATGTCTGACTGATTTGTTGAAAGATTAGCTTCCGTAGGTTCTTAATTATATATACAGGTGGAGGCCCACAGCCAATGGCCGCAGCAGATCTCTCTCTCTCTCTCTCTCTCTCTCTCTCTCTCTCTCTCTCTCTCTCTCTCTCTCTCTCTCTCTCTCTCTCTCTCTCTCTCT